AGCACATAAAATAGCTTTGAGAATAGATGAACTGAGACCCTGTAATTTATTTCTCCATTTTCCACCACTCATGCCCACTCCCTGCTGCCCTCGGTTTGGGAAAGGTATTTGTGTGTTTTACACAGCTCAGCCCCTGCAATGGGGTGTCATACAGCCACATTCCCACTGCTGTCATCCAAGGAAGGTACTGAGTGTTAACTGAGCTATAGAAAGACACTGTGAAGAATGTTATAGACAAGTTTTAGTGTTGGGCAGGGAAGAGGCTGCACCTACCTAACTCTGCTGGGAACAATCAATGCATTATTAAATTTATTAAGAGCTTACGTGTAGGAAAAATAAGCACTGGACTACTACAGTCACCGAACATGCAGTTATGGGAGTTTAGTATCAGCACAATAAGGCATTTTCCAGCAGTTGCCTCCGCAAGAGAGGCCAGTTATAGAAAAAGCTAAAATACCATGATTTGATCAGTCTATTTTGGGATGTTTTCCTTCAAAACCAAACAGATTCTTGCGCACAATACAGAGAACTGAGGCAGTTGTCATTTGCATTGTATTAATAACAGTCATGGTTTCCATGCAAGCTACTAGCCTGGAATGCAAAAAGTGGGAGGGACCAGGTGACTGCAAACCATGCACTGTGACATGGAAGTGTGGAGATGCTTTTATCAGCTCTAAGCTCTGTGCCTGTATCATGGTCATGCTGCTAAGGTCCCTCCTAGGTTACTGCTGGGTACTCAGAACACTTCAGGATGTTAGAACAACAGCAGAACTAACAGTAACGAGAGGAATCAGCTGCTCCATCTCTGCTACAAACAATCGTTTTTGGCAGGGAAAAAAGAGAAGTGCCACACTTATTTTTTCACCATTTCGTATTTCCAATGAAATGGGTAATTATTTGTATTTTATTAGCCACAACAGGTCATCAGCTTGTGTTACAGTGACACAGATTGGAGGTTCAGACATGCCAGCAACCTGCCAAGAGAAGAAAAATCGCACACAGTAAGTCTTGCACGGTGGTAACTGAGCACCCCCTGCCCTGAGCCCAAACCATTTCAAGTACGAGCAGGCAGATTTCAGCACACCCAGCAAGAAGTGACTGATGTCCTCTTAATACACAACAACAATGCTCAAGCTTGCTTCAAACCCCTTTTAGCAGGCTATGAGGACAGCTCATAGGTTTTGTCAAAATGCCATTTCAGTGGAAATTCTGTATTTGAAAGGGACTCTAAAATTTTGTAGCACTTGGTTGTTGCTAGACAAGTCCAATTACTTCCATGTGGGCCTTGAATAATCAGGTGTGCAACATACACAGATCCATCATATGGTGCTCCTTTACCCTGTTCAAAGGAAGGTTTTAACAGACTGCATTAATCTCAACTTGGAATTCTAATACAACCAAGAAGTTCTCAAGTACTACTTTATTATTTCAATAACCCACAAATCAAGTTATCTCTACTTTAGTACAAAAGAGCAGACCACAGACACCTAATAGCTGCAGGCAAAGTTTGACATACCTAGCTGCAACATCCTTCCATTCCTCTTTCCTTGCTACTCTTCCTCCCTGCATCCCGTCCCTAGTGCCACTTACCATTATCAGAAGAACAATAAGAATACTGGTATCCCATTTTTTTTGCACTTCATTATGCCCCCACGTAAGTCAATGCTATTGTTTATTTGAGGTTTAAAATGATCAATACGAAGTTCACATGTGTTTCTTGTTACTAGCAAATTGCTCTTTGTAACTCCTCCTTCCTGAGCTGGCATTGAAGCATTTTGGTCCTGGAAAAACACCATCCACTTACCATTTACTTATCTGCCACAGCAGGAGTTTGCTTCTTAGGCCTAAACTTGAAATACAAGACGAGGAGGGCAACACCTGTGTACGTTGCTATTACATACTGGAAAACAGAGAAGTTAAATTTAGTTTCAGTCTAAAACCCAGAAAACATCATTATACTAGACTACAAAACTCAGTGTACAGAATACATACATTCCTCCTGCCTATGAGAGTGTAGGAATTGAAGTACTTCTGAAATCCAGTGAACTGGTGTTCGGATCCCGACTCATGGCCAGCCATGGCTGCTAGTCCTAACAGCAACACAGGACAGTTAATGGAGTTAGTCAGTCGGACAGGATTGACAGAAAAATCAAACTAATATCTACTCTGAGCTTCAGAATTCCATTGCCAGCTACTAAATGTGCTGTCAGGACATTGGGCAAGCTGTGGATATACATAAGGAGCAGGCACAGCCAGAGCACTATCAAAACAGGTGACATGAGCACAGAAGCAAATGAAGGGTTCTGAATTTTTGATTTTCAGGGTTCACATGACCGAGTTGAATGAAAAGAAAAAAAAGATCCAGGATGATGATTAAAAAAGGTAAAATTCCTCAAAGCACTTATAAAAAGAGACCTGCCAGTCCTGCCCACACAACCACTCAACACAGGCAAATTGCTACCAATTCAATTGTTCAGGAATCTGCAACACCCAGTTAAGATCAAACTTCACTAGTTCAGCTAAGAAACAGCTTCAATTACATACTGAAAGCCTGGGCGACAAGACTCAGACTAGACCATTACTCTGTTTTGTGATTCAAAATGCCACTTTACAACTTTTACACCAAAATAGAGTGCAAGTATTGTTAACAAGAACTGCTCTGCTCTCAGCTGCACATTTCTATTGCATCTTACTTACCATCCCCAGTATTCACAGAGCTAGACAAAAACATACTTTGTTTACCCCCAGTTATTTTTCAAATAGATCAGAAAATTACATGAGCCAGCTACAAAGCCTCAGAAGTGCTTCCACAGGTACACTAAAACCACTAAGTCCACGAGGGCACACTTTTGTATTTTGTCTGTGTCTAGACCAAAACTTCAGACCTACTCTAAGAAATTCCTAAGGCAAAAGCCTGTAGTGGCTGCAGCAGCACAGCTGCAGATTCATTAACAGGTTCAGGCTGGCACCTCTGCAGATGGCATAGTCCAACCTGCTCAGGGCAGGGCCAGTACAGGTCACTCAGGAACACATCCAGTCAGGTGTGTTCAGTGTCTTCAGAGATAGAGACTCCACAGCTGCACTGAGGAACCTGTTCCAGTGTTTGGTCACCCATACAATAAATGTGGTTTTCTTTTCAACATTTAGATATCTTTTATTCTAAGGGAGTTTTATATTTATGACAAACATTTGTTGCTTAGCTTCTAACTCACCCCAAAAGCACCACAGATCCCATACAGTTACCTAGCAAACCCAGGAGATGCTGCAGCCACCAGTACCCTCGAGGAACACACAAGAAACTGCACAGCAGATGCTGTGGCCATTGACACAGCTCTGATGCAAACCATATAACTAAGCGTGCTCGTAACCAGATTGACCGTGCAATAGTTCAAGATCTTAATGCAACAACTCCCTAAACGTTTGCTGCACAAAGGGCAGTTCCGCCGACTCCCAGGACAGCGGTCACAGCACCA